CACTCCACCGAAGTCTCTCGACTCTTGGTTCGACTGCCGCCTCTTCCTCCGGAACTCCACCATAAACTCGCCGGAGCCACCCTCCGCCGCTCCGCCCAGTCGCTGGCCATTCGCCGACGAACGCCGACCTGCCGCCGACGTCGGAAGAGACCCTGCAGCCGTGCCGACGAGCCAGAACCAGTCCCACCTCCTCACAGGCCCCCGCCGGAGTTTCCCGATGCTCTGCCATTGTCGCGCCATTTCTCGTGCCGCTTAGACCAGGAGAGCTCAACCCTCCCTGGTATCGTCGGCCGGATCGTCTCCTCTTTGCTCCGCTTCCCGGTGCCGCCAGAGAAGGCCGACCTTTCCGACGACGGTTGGGTCTCCGCCCAACCGCTGACGCTCAGCATTCCCGCCGAAGCACCACTGACGCTCGGCCTTCTCGCCAAACGTTGACGCTCAGCATTCCCGCTATAGCGCCACTAACGCTTGGCAATCCTGCCAAAGTGCTGCAGATGCTCGGCCTTCCCGCCAAAGCGTTGCCATCGCACGTCGGCTCTTGCAGCCCACGCACCCACCCAGTGCCATTGCCCGCATGCCCTAAGGCCGCCGTGCGGCTTGCCTCCCACACCCGCTAACGTGCCCTTCAGCCCATCAGCGGACCCATGCTCGCTAGCGTGCCCTTCGGCCCACCAGCGGGCCCACACCCGCGCCGACCATGCCACGCCTTACGACAACGGCTACGGTGACTCTCGACCAGGACCGACCTTCGACGCTGAGCATCGCTTTTCACCGAACGTCCCTGCCTTCGTCGAATCTCCGATCCGTCACGACCCGCCGGGCTACACAGCCCTGAAGGTTAGCTCCGTACCCCTTCTTACTTAAGTTTAATTATCTTTCGAAGGGTTTTCTCGGCTCATCTCTACCGCCATCAGGAGCACATAGATAGGATAGGACAGGTTATCAGATCGTGACTTTTGACGTTGCATCAAACTCGTCACAGTTCATGAGCTGCAGCCCTAGGCTACTTCACGACAACAGTTCTGCCATCTGTTCGGACGTGGACCGGGAGGGCCCCTCAGTTACCATCGTCAAGTGTTTCCTTGGGTTGTCCTGGGTTGATCACACATATTGGTATGCCTACCTGTGCTTAGGTTACGTGGTCAGACCTAGAGTCTAGGGTCTAAACATTCTTATCAGATCGATCTGACTACCCCATCTCAAGACTCGAATTTCATTGATCAGGTATAGGGGGTTCTCGCCCCGTCCTGCATCACAAAGTTATCCTCACATTATGGATGGGAGGATTTCCCAATAGTCTTAACTAAGATGATCAACATCAGTTGCGTCTACCACTTCACCTTTCATTTACAACAACTTTCTAAAGAGAGCTATATCTTGTCCCCCCTAGTTCTCATGTATGAGGCTCAAGGATAAACACTTCATCAACATCAATATTATTTATAATTCACCAAAAAAAAAACCAAAACCCTATATCCTAAAACCTAAACCCTAAATCCTAAAAGCTCAATGTGGATGGGGCAGCACATGAAAACACTAGACTTGTAGGGGGAGGAGGCATCTTACGAGACCATACAAGTATTATCTTTGCCTCTTCCCACTATTACGATGTTCAAACTAACATGGCAATGGAGGCTATGGCGATCCGCGATGGTTTGCTCCTTTGTGAGGAACGCAACCTACATGGTATCATCCTAGAATCTGACTCCAGAGTACTAGTTGAAATGTTGCGTGTAGGTACTTGTTACCATTAAGAACTCAAGAGCACTTAGATGGATATCATGCGTTGTCATGAAAGGATCAGTGCCATCACACATCAGCTACACAAGGGGAACTAGACTATAGACGCACTTGTTACACATACAATATGCACCTGTCTATGATTTGTTTTCACCTATGCATGTAGAAACTTGAGGTAGATGCCATTTAGAGTAACTCGGCATACCAGCACTACGCATAGGACAAAAGCTTCTACCTATCACATCTAGGCAGTGGTGTATCACTTGGAGTAGATCAATGTCGATGTCAGCACAAGGTGGATGACAACACTTTTGAATTTTCATCTACATCATCTAAATTTTTGTTTCTAGATTTACTCTTTCATCTCGCCTCTTGTTTTTGATCTTGTTCTTGTTTTTGTTGTTGTAGGTCTAAGTCTTCATCAATTTGGTTTTCCTCTATGTTTATAGCCATGTGGTCTTTAGTTGGTGTTGGATTATTATGTTGACTTTACGTAATTAGACTTCTAGTGTTGATCATTGTTGCTGGATTCATTATTGTTTGTGTATGTTCCCTTTGACTAGTTGGGGTCTTGAATAGTCATTTCACCTATACTAACATTTTGTTGATCGATGTCAATCAGTTTTTCTTTGATAAGTGATGTTACTTAGATAATACTAATTTTTAGAAATCACACAAATTTAAAATTTATAAAACTAGAAAAATACTATTTTTTGGATTTTTAGAAATATTTAATTTGATTAAGATTCCAAAAATAGTGGAGAATTTTTAAGTCGATCACAAAGATGTAAAATAATATCTGGTAATATTTTAGAATTTTTTAAAAGAATATAATTTTTTATAATTTTTAGATTAAATGATGAATATAAAATATATTTAAAAATTTACAAAAAAGAAAAATAAAGGTGCAGATGTCAGGATGACGTCAATGCCTGACAAATATGAATTAGGAAAAGATAGAGTTCCACTTGACGATTCTTACATAAGTGATTATAGATGATTTAATAAGTCAAATTAAGTTCTATTAAGACTTAAATAATTATAATTTAATGAATAAGAGTTTCAAAACTTGAAATCACACAAAATATCAAAAGAATACATCTAAGAATATTTTTTGTAGAAAGATATTTTAGTAAAGTTATAGTATTTTACTATGATCACCCATTTGACCACTTCTTCAATCTAAGCTCACTTAACTCCAAAGTTTTTTCACTTACTCTATGATGACTCACCCACTTGTAAGAGTCTTATGGTTTAGGGTTTAAGGTGACAAGAACTAGAGCCATTGTGTCAAGTAGTGCAATAATAGCGGCATAGAAAGTAGAAATCACAATAGAAATATTAAAAAGGACTAAATAGAAATCACATCAAAATAAACAAGGAGAAGATGATAACTCTCTTTCTCTCTCTCTCTCTTTGTGTAAGAAAATTAATATAAATAAATTTGGTAAAAAATATATGTAAAAAATATAAATAGTTTACATGTTTCTTTTTTTCTTTTTGTGAGCCTTTCCCTAATCCTTCTAGATCGTTTAGAAAGAAAAATGTTATTGATACTACACAAATACTTTTTAGTGAAAATGTTATGTTGCTCTATAGTATGAGGAAGGGAACAATTTTTCGTAGTGTCTACAGGGAATCACTTCAGTATCTTTTTTTTTTGTAGTGCCATAGTATCTAATGGCTGACCTATATTCTGAAAAGGTCTGGCCTTGGAATGGAGCAGTCAAAATCACTTTTTTTTTTCATAAACTTATCATGTGTGGTAGATGTAGGGTACTATCACATAGTACTGTTGGTTCTCTGAACCTTTGAATATTCTCTCTCCATGTAGTGAGAAAAAGGTGGGTGATCGTTAACATAGGCTTATGTGCATTATTTAGAAGGGGAAAACGAAAAATAACATCTAGATATTCTTCTCACTGAAAAGAAAGTTGTTGGAGTTGCCCCATCATTAGCGGTCATCAAAGCTCCCATTGCTATTTGATATGGCAATTGAGGTGATTTAGAATAATAACGAGGGGGGTGAATGGGTGGTATGGTGCATAATTTTGAGTGCAGAGGGATGACTAGGATGCTTTAGTCAATTTCCATAAACTGAATCGTCCCTTATGAAGTCATTAATTCGTGCAATTCAAGCTAATGGTAAAATAATCTAATAAGCCATTCACAATATGGCTTTCTTTTTGTGTATTTCATTGGAATTGTTAAATAGGAAATAGTTCATGACCGTAAAGATGGATACTAATCCTCCCTGTCTCAACGTGGCTCCCTCTCCCTCTCTGTGTACCCAATGGCTCTCTCTCTCTCTCTCTCTCTCTCCCTCTCTCTCTCTCTCTCTAAGCAAGTAACAATACCAAGAGAGAAAGGCCGTCTTTCTTATATTCTCGTGATATTTGGAGTTCTATCAGAGAGAGGGAACATGGTGCTTGAGAGGGGGAGGGAGAGAGAGGAGGAAGAACGGAACGGCCCTAGGAAGAATGATCGTTCTGTCACAAGATGACAGCCAACACGTCCCCACGGCAGAGGGAGAAAAGGATGGAGATCGAGTCGGATCGCTTTTCGGTAGGTAGGTCGTCGTCGGCATGGAATTCGTCAAACCCTGGAAACTTTCAATTAGTCCAAGAGACGTAGTCGGACTTATTTCCTCACGCGTCCCCCTGCCGTATATTTTAAATTGGGGGGGTGGGGTGTGGGGTGTGGCTGGGTGATCTCTGGAGGACAGCGTGGGAAGACTTCTTCCCCTAATCACGCCGTTCTAGAAGAGTCGAACACATTAACAACGATGCTCCCTCTCTCTCCCTCTCGCTCCTAAGAGTCAATCAAACACGACAATTCCATTCTCAAGCTCCCTGCTCCCTGCTCCCTGTCTCTGATAGAACTCCTAAGAAGTGCTCTGACGTAGTCGGACGAGATTTCACGACGTGTCCCCTGCCCGTATATTTTAAATTGGCGGGATCTCTAGAACCCAAAAGTCAAACCATTTGCACTCTGTGGAATGAGAACGCGCGCACCACATCGTCATCCAGGGCAACTCAATCCCAGTTTTCCTGGTGTTGTCATCGGGATCGAATGGCCATCAGAATCAAGGTCTTAGAGAACAAAAGATGCCGTGAAGCCGTTTTGGGGCAAGGCTCCCACAAGTGTGTCACCAGAGTACGCGAAAAAGCACACAGAAGCCAGCCAGATGCGTCCGAAATTCAATCAAATCTCATAGAACATACCAAGAAGGATGCATGGATACAGGCAACTGTGTAGGTCTACAACATTAGAGCGGCTGCGATTGTTGTCAACGCAAAGGTGGCAGCGACCGCGGCTGTTCCGAGGCTGGCAGACGGCGCCGCGCTGCGCGCTCCGGGCGTCGAACCAGAAGGTCCGGGAGTGGCAACAGTTGTGGGAGGTGTTGGTGCTCCGGAGGAGGGCGGGGGTGGCGGGGTGCCCGAAGGGGTGGAGGCCGCTGCCACTGTGAGAGCCATCTTCTGCCCTGCACTACAGTGACCATTGACGCCGCAGATGAAATATCTGGTGCCCGCCGCGGTGAGTTCCACGGTGGCCGGGCCGGTGTTGTGCGTCATGATGGGGTTGGACGTAGTGCAGGCGTCGTAGTTCGCCCTCGTCACCTCGAGCACGTCGTGGGCACCGGTGTTAAAGTTGAAAACTGAACAAGGGCAGGATCAGGGAGTTTAAATTAGACTAGTCCGGGAGGAACGATCAGAAATCGAGACGATGGAAGTGAATACTCCGTTTCCCGGGTACAAGGTGCAGAGCCCATGCTGAAGGGAAGGAAGGAGCGATTGAAGATGCTGCTTACCAAGAGAATCGCCGACAGCGAATGTCTGCCCGTTGGCCCAGTCAGTGTAGTAGCTAGAACTGGAAGGGATGCTCCACATCTGGTTGTCCCCTACCTGGAATGTGGCCGCGAGCGCCCCCGTGGCGGAGTAAACTACGGCGAGGATGAGGAAGAGAAGTGCAGAGGACGAAGAAGAGGCCATCTCTGTTGTGCGAGAAGGGACACTTCTCTGTGTTCTACAGGTCACCCCTGCCCACAGCCCTCGGAGCCCTCTCCTTCCCCTGAATCCACACAGCACAGAAGCTCGCAAAGCGTAGAGAAGAAGGGTGGGTGGGAGTTCGTGATGGGAGGGGTGAGGAATATATGCGTGTGCGGGGCTGTATTTATAACGGGAACCATCGACAGAGCGAAGGCATTCGGAGAAGAGTAATAGACCAACGGATAGAGGAGGGCTGGCCGAGAGGGGGAACAGAAACAGAGCTGACCGGAAATAGGACGCTTCGTCGACGCCGTGTTCTTCTGGAATCGCCGTGTGGAGCCCAGTTACGAACAGACAGTTCGGGTCAAATCTAAAATATACGCCCGTGTGGAGCCCAGTTACGAGAAAGTTTTGGCGCGCGCGTCCACACGGGCGTATATTTTAGATTTGACCCGAACTGTGTAGGACAGCCTAAGAAAACTTCCCCAAATCCGGCGATTCCAGAAGAACACGGCGTCGACGAAGCGTCCTATTTCCGGTCAGCTCTGTTTCTGTTCCCCCTCTCGGCCAGCCCTCCTCTATCCGTTGGTCTATTACTCTTCTCCGAATGCCTTCGCTCTGTCGATGGTTCCCGTTATAAATACAGCCCCGCACACGCATATATTCCTCACCCCTCCCATCACGAACTCCCACCCACCCTTCTTCTCTACGCTTTGCGAGCTTCTGTGCTGTGTGGATTCAGGGGAAGGAGAGGGCTCCGAGGGCTGTGGGCAGGGGTGACCTGTAGAACACAGAGAAGTGTCCCTTCTCGCACAACAGAGATGGCCTCTTCTTCGTCCTCTGCACTTCTCTTCCTCATCCTCGCCGTAGTTTACTCCGCCACGGGGGCGCTCGCGGCCACATTCCAGGTAGGGGACAACCAGATGTGGAGCATCCCTTCCAGTTCTAGCTACTACACTGACTGGGCCAACGGGCAGACATTCGCTGTCGGCGATTCTCTTGGTAAGCAGCATCTTCAATCGCTCCTTCCTTCCCTTCAGCATGGGCTCTGCACCTTGTACCCGGGAAACGGAGTATTCACTTCCATCGTCTCGATTTCTGATCGTTCCTCCCGGACTAGTCTAATTTAAACTCCCTGATCCTGCCCTTGTTCAGTTTTCAACTTTAACACCGGTGCCCACGACGTGCTCGAGGTGACGAGGGCGAACTACGACGCCTGCACTACGTCCAACCCCATCATGACGCACAACACCGGCCCGGCCACCGTGGAACTCACCGCGGCGGGCACCAGATATTTCATCTGCGGCGTCAATGGTCACTGTAGTGCAGGGCAGAAGATGGCTCTCACAGTGGCAGCGGCCTCCACCCCTTCGGGCACCCCGCCACCCCCGCCCTCCTCCGGAGCACCAACACCTCCCACAACTGTTGCCACTCCCGGACCTTCTGGTTCGACGCCCGGAGCGCGCAGCGCGGCGCCGTCTGCCAGCCTCGGAACAGCCGCGGTCGCTGCCACCTTTGCGTTGACAACAATCGCAGCCGCTCTAATGTTGTAGACCTACACAGTTGCCTGTATCCATGCATCCTTCTTGGTATGTTCTATGAGATTTGATTGAATTTCGGACGCATCTGGCTGGCTTCTGTGTGCTTTTTCGCGTACTCTGGTGACACACTTGTGGGAGCCTTGCCCCAAAACGGCTTCACGGCATCTTTTGTTCTCTAAGACCTTGATTCTGATGGCCATTCGATCCCGATGACAACACCAGGAAAACTGGGATTGAGTTGCCCTGGATGACGATGTGGTGCGCGCGTTCTCATTCCACAGAGTGCAAATGGTTTGACTTTTGGGTTCTAGAGATCCCGCCAATTTAAAATATACGGGCAGGGGACACGTCGTGAAATCTCGTCCGACTACGTCAGAGCACTTCTTAGGAGTTCTATCAGAGACAGGGAGCAGGGAGCAGGGAGCTTGAGAATGGAATTGTCGTGTTTGATTGACTCTTAGGAGCGAGAGGGAGAGAGAGGGAGCATCGTTGTTAATGTGTTCGACTCTTCTAGAACGGCGTGATTAGGGGAAGAAGTCTTCCCACGCTGTCCTCCAGAGATCACCCAGCCACACCCCACACCCCACCCCCCCAATTTAAAATATACGGCAGGGGGACGCGTGAGGAAATAAGTCCGACTACGTCTCTTGGACTAATTGAAAGTTTCCAGGGTTTGACGAATTCCATGCCGACGACGACCTACCTACCGAAAAGCGATCCGACTCGATCTCCATCCTTTTCTCCCTCTGCCGTGGGGACGTGTTGGCTGTCATCTTGTGACAGAACGATCATTCTTCCTAGGGCCGTTCCGTTCTTCCTCCTCTCTCTCCCTCCCCCTCTCAAGCACCATGTTCCCTCTCTCTGATAGAACTCCAAATATCACGAGAATATAAGAAAGACGGCCTTTCTCTCTTGGTATTGTTACTTGCTTAGAGAGAGAGAGAGAGAGGGAGAGAGAGAGAGAGAGAGAGAGAGCCATTGGGTACACAGAGAGGGAGAGGGAGCCACGTTGAGACAGGGAGGATTAGTATCCATCTTTACGGTCATGAACTATTTCCTATTTAACAATTCCAATGAAATACACAAAAAGAAAGCCATATTGTGAATGGCTTATTAGATTATTTTACCATTAGCTTGAATTGCACGAATTAATGACTTCATAAGGGACGATTCAGTTTATGGAAATTGACTAAAGCATCCTAGTCATCCCTCTGCACTCAAAATTATGCACCATACCACCCATTCACCCCCCTCGTTATTATTCTAAATCACCTCAATTGCCATATCAAATAGCAATGGGAGCTTTGATGACCGCTAATGATGGGGCAACTCCAACAACTTTCTTTTCAGTGAGAAGAATATCTAGATGTTATTTTTCGTTTTCCCCTTCTAAATAATGCACATAAGCCTATGTTAACGATCACCCACCTTTTTCTCACTACATGGAGAGAGAATATTCAAAGGTTCAGAGAACCAACAGTACTATGTGATAGTACCCTACATCTACCACACATGATAAGTTTATGAAAAAAAAAAGTGATTTTGACTGCTCCATTCCAAGGCCAGACCTTTTCAGAATATAGGTCAGCCATTAGATACTATGGCACTACAAAAAAAAAAGATACTGAAGTGATTCCCTGTAGACACTACGAAAAATTGTTCCCTTCCTCATACTATAGAGCAACATAACATTTTCACTAAAAAGTATTTGTGTAGTATCAATAACATTTTTCTTTCTAAACGATCTAGAAGGATTAGGGAAAGGCTCACAAAAAGAAAAAAAGAAACATGTAAACTATTTATATTTTTTACATATATTTTTTACCAAATTTATTTATATTAATTTTCTTACACAAAGAGAGAGAGAGAGAAAGAGAGTTATCATCTTCTCCTTGTTTATTTTGATGTGATTTCTATTTAGTCCTTTTTAATATTTCTATTGTGATTTCTACTTTCTATGCCGCTATTATTGCACTACTTGACACAATGGCTCTAGTTCTTGTCACCTTAAACCCTAAACCATAAGACTCTTACAAGTGGGTGAGTCATCATAGAGTAAGTGAAAAAACTTTGGAGTTAAGTGAGCTTAGATTGAAGAAGTGGTCAAATGGGTGATCATAGTAAAATACTATAACTTTACTAAAATATCTTTCTACAAAAAATATTCTTAGATGTATTCTTTTGATATTTTGTGTGATTTCAAGTTTTGAAACTCTTATTCATTAAATTATAATTATTTAAGTCTTAATAGAACTTAATTTGACTTATTAAATCATCTATAATCACTTATGTAAGAATCGTCAAGTGGAACTCTATCTTTTCCTAATTCATATTTGTCAGGCATTGACGTCATCCTGACATCTGCACCTTTATTTTTCTTTTTTGTAAATTTTTAAATATATTTTATATTCATCATTTAATCTAAAAATTATAAAAAATTATATTCTTTTAAAAAATTCTAAAATATTACCAGATATTATTTTACATCTTTGTGATCGACTTAAAAATTCTCCACTATTTTTGGAATCTTAATCAAATTAAATATTTCTAAAAATCCAAAAAATAGTATTTTTCTAGTTTTATAAATTTTAAATTTGTGTGATTTCTAAAAATTAGTATTATCTAAGTAACATCACTTATCAAAGAAAAACTGATTGACATCGATCAACAAAATGTTAGTATAGGTGAAATGACTATTCAAGACCCCAACTAGTCAAAGGGAACATACACAAACAATAATGAATCCAGCAACAATGATCAACACTAGAAGTCTAATTACGTAAAGTCAACATAATAATCCAACACCAACTAAAGACCACATGGCTATAAACATAGAGGAAAACCAAATTGATGAAGACTTAGACCTACAACAACAAAAACAAGAACAAGATCAAAAACAAGAGGCGAGATGAAAGAGTAAATCTAGAAACAAAAATTTAGATGATGTAGATGAAAATTCAAAAGTGTTGTCATCCACCTTGTGCTGACATCGACATTGATCTACTCCAAGTGATACACCACTGCCTAGATGTGATAGGTAGAAGCTTTTGTCCTATGCGTAGTGCTGGTATGCCGAGTTACTCTAAATGGCATCTACCTCAAGTTTCTACATGCATAGGTGAAAACAAATCATAGACAGGTGCATATTGTATGTGTAACAAGTGCGTCTATAGTCTAGTTCCCCTTGTGTAGCTGATGTGTGATGGCACTGATCCTTTCATGACAACGCATGATATCCATCTAAGTGCTCTTGAGTTCTTAATGGTAACAAGTACCTACACGCAACATTTCAACTAGTACTCTGGAGTCAGATTCTAGGATGATACCATGTAGGTTGCGTTCCTCACAAAGGAGCAAACCATCGCGGATCGCCATAGCCTCCATTGCCATGTTAGTTTGAACATCGTAATAGTGGGAAGAGGCAAAGATAATACTTGTATGGTCTCGTAAGATGCCTCCTCC